GCAGGTAGGTGAGCGAGTGTTATCGAGCTGTGACGTCACCGGCCTTGTAAAGAATGTGTTATCTCTCTGCGTGCGCTCAGTTCCGTTCAACACAAGCATCTCACGCTCGCGTTATCGCCGTCGCCGTCGCACGTGCAAACTGACGGTGATCTCTTCTCCTCGAAAATCGAGCAATCGTCCGTTCTGGTCGACGACGCGTATCGTTAGATCCGTAATGCTCCGTGCGGTGATCGGCAAGTAAATGATCTGCACGGGCCTTTCCTATATCTTATATCCCGGTGGCACGCCCGGGGAAAATTCGTGTATCGTGTGTGCACCTTTGCCGTTGCAGTACGCACCCGCGGTCACGTTACACTCTACGCGGATAACGTTTACGTTCATTATGTTGATCGACACGTCGGATTCGTGCCATCTTCGCAGTCGCAGTATACGCTTCGACGAGAATCCCAGCAGCGATCCAATGTTGTTGTCAAAGTTTATTCTGTAGGCGCATCTAATCTCGCATCTTATCGTGTTGTAGTTTGCACGGATCGTTATCGGATATTCCGCACCCTCGCTATCGTCGTTGTCATCAGTGTTATAGTTGCTATTGTTGCTATTGTCACCATACAAAAGCATTATGTCAACGGTTTCAAGCGCATCGCGGCGCGAACGTAAAATCGCACGTTTCAAAAATTCATTTATGTCCCGAACTTCGTACGAACCCTCGGGAATTGTAATTTCTGCGTCGTCTTTATCGAAATAAAATTTATTGTTTGACTCGTTTACGTTCGGTATCGTGTGATAAGTCTCAAAAATCATCAAACCGAACTTGTAATCACTGTCACTCAAATCTATGGCGGGGAAGTAGTTCGCCGCGAGGAGACTGCTCTTCCCGCTCAGTGTAAGTGTCAGCGACATGACGGAAAAAGCGTTCGATGAATACTGAGATTTCGCGGCATCTCGTCGAGCTATTTAAATTCACGTGCGTCGACCGTTCGTAGAAACCATAGGCACATCTGTCCGCATAAGCTCTGATCGTACGTCTGATAGGACTCTATCGTCGTAACACCGATCCCGAAATATCGCATCAGTTCCTTGGGCGGTTGAAGATTACCGAAACTGTCAAAGTACACAACACGATCGTTCCTCTTCGCGTACGCTACCCAGTGAGTACCGGGTCCCGTCGCATCGTCCAGATTCACGATACCGCTTTCGTTTCGGTGTGCGCCACTCGTCAGTAACGCGTTACGCATGAAAACACCTCTAAAAGGTATGGTACGCGCATACGTCTCGCGAGCAGGTCCAATTGCACGTTGGTAGTTGCACCCGAGGGCATTTTTATCGTCTCTTTGACGTTTTTTTTTCTTCGCTGCTATGCCCTGTCCACGTTTGTAGGGGCTGAAATACAGTCCGAGTCCGTATTTGTGTGGAGCGAGATACAGTCCGCGACCATCGCGCGATCGTGACGTTGCAGCCCCTCGAGCTGACGTCGCGCGGCTTTGCTATCGTTTACAGTTTTCGCCACGCTGGCCGCTCCGCCGATCAAGGACCCGAGTGCGCCCAACATTCCTAGAATTGGTAACGCGCCGCCTAGTTTCGCCGTCAGAAGAATCCGCTTCTTCGTTGTCTTTTTCCTCGTCGTCGTCGTCGTCGTCGTCTTCTTCGGTTCATGCCCATGCCGATCTTGGTTTTGGCTTTCATCGCTGCCAGACGGCAGCAGCGGCGGCTCTCTCTGCGAGAGTCGAATCTTTCGCGGTAATGCTTTTCCGCGCCTCTTCAACGAGTATTTTGTCAGCTACGTGTCGTTTCGCGAGATCTTTGCTCCGCGAATAAGCTATATCGTGTTCTCGGCACGCCGCGTCCAACAGATTTATGCCTGCGTCACCTCTAGCAATCGCTTTTCTAAATGCGTTCCTGGACTGCAAAACTGGTAGCCCGGAATATGTAACTCGAAAGGAAGCGCGTTTATCGCTTGATTCAGCAGACCTCCGCGCGACGCTGACATTCACTACAGTCCCTTATCTTCGGTGCCGAATCATCGATGTGCGTCCGCTGCTACGGCTGATTGCAGTGCTCGTCGCAGCGACGATACGTTCGAACCTCCGAATCCGCCTTCACGTGTTCAGGAAGCTTGTCCCACATGTGGTCGATATAGTCGCCGTACACGCGTAACAGTACGATCTTCGGTATATACTGCAACTGCTCGGCGCTCAAATCCAAAATGTCGGAAGGATGACACAGCGCGAGATACATTTTACTTCTGCGCGACTCGCGAATTGGCGCACCTTTAAATAGGCGGTCGA